GATGCCTCTTGTCATGATGTAGTTTTCTGGGCATTTTTATTGGCTGTGTGCCCATGAATTCTGTAAATGGTGCTTTGTGGATGAAGAATTATGCAAGCAGTTAGTCAGTTTAACTGCGTCAACTCCCATCAAACTCTCCCACAAATGTTTCTGCCGTTATTTTTTTTTTCCTGTCAGCATTGGAGGGAAAAGAAGGGGACACACCTGTGTTTGTCAAGCAGGTGTTTGTGTGTCTACTAGTGTTTCTGTCATTCACCCACCACTTTGTTCATCTACGCTGAAACAGAAGAGCAGCAAACCCTCAATTCTCTCAGCAGCAGCTATCTCTCATACTAGCAGGTAACTTTCAGGTACTTCTTAACCAGTTCCATGTGTGCGCTACAAAAACAAAAGGTAAAAAAGCTTTAACCTCAAATACAGAAATGAGCATTAACTCTTAATTCATCTGCATTTTAACGATGGTGAAAAGTCTCGTTGCTTGTGTCTGCTGGTGCATGTCATGATTCTCAGCTCACTGCTTCACTGTTTGTCTCTGCTAACAGTTTAGTTCTCTGAGCCATATGGAGCCCGCAAGTGGCTTTCCATATTCTGCCGTGCTGTCAGGCCTGTTATTAGAGATATTTTAGCGCCTGTGCTAAAACTGTAGAAAGCACTCATCTGTCTACCTGCTGTCACATTTACCGGCTAGTTTCTGACAAGAAGACAGATTAGGCTATGCCTTGATTTGTGTGTAAATGTTGAGCTGCATGTCAATATCAAATGTATTTGATTAGAATGCTGTAGGGTTTGCTATACAATCCATTTACTTTAAAAGAATAATTATGTAGCAGAATATCCAAGTTGCATTTTTAAATACAATGTAAGTGAATAGTGACGACAGCTGGTCTTCGTCCACTTTCATTGTATAGGGGAAAAAAGCATATACATATATACATATTTTTTACATGCACTGTCCCTTTAGTACTTTGCTGAAAGCAATTTCCTTTTCAAAATAATTTTTCCTCTTTCATGACCCCCACAGAAGCCGTGCCAACATGCAGAACGCAGAAGCCGTGTCAGCAACTATAAACACTAATAGGAACTGTACAGTGGAGATCACCAATGTTAGCAGCACTTACTGCCTTATCAATCCAAAGTAAGGAGAAAATTACATTTACAATTATTTAAATGAAATTACTGGCAAAATCTGTTTAGTGAGTGATAAAACTCTTTAAAAATGCAGTTAAAAATGAAGAGTAGTGACTTTAAGAATTATATTTTGGTCAATTGTACACTGTAAAAAACTACTTAACATGTATAACATGTAAAAATGAAGTTGAAATTGGTTAAAGCTGCAGTCTGTAATTTTGCCTCTTTGTCGCCATCTCTGTTTGAAAACCTGGAATTCCAGCTGTTTGCGGAATTATCTAGCTTGTGTGGGTTGTGCGGCGGCACTGCTCCAGCGAGGATGAATCTAATGTTTTGAAGAGTATGTGTGGCAGTCAGTCACCGCACCGGTGTGGATACTGTAACGTTACTTAGGAATCACAGATTCTCGCCTACGTCTTGGAATATGACCCAAATAAGAATTTTCACCGTATATTGTCATCTGAACAAGTCTGCAATGTTTGTTCTGACCAACCGAGGAAAAAAGCATTACAATAAATCGCGCTATATGGTGATTTAATCTAAAGATCGGTTAGCTCATATCACATCAAACCGTTCAAATTATTATTATTGTTATACTTTATTCTCAAATTATTAATGTTAACAACATCAACATTGCGTGACTATGAGTATAGTGTGTATTAGCGTGTAGATTTCAGTTTCTGTACTACAGTCTAAACTCTAATTGTCATACCATTCGAATTTCATATTAAGAAATTCTTTTAACCCAAAAAGCAAATTATGCTCCCTTCGAACTGGTTTTCTTTAAAATACAAATCTTTGTAATCCCAGGCTATCTGTAATCAGAAGCACATTTAAAACGGCAATATAATTTAATTTCATTCACATGTGTTTCATAAACACATAATCCTTTCTGGATTACAATCCGCCATCAAAATGATACATTATTCTGGCTGCTGTGAGAAAAGGCTATAAACGATCCGCCACCTGCAGGATCCTCACATGTGATAGCCTAGTAGCCGGGACAACTTCTTTATGTTTACAGAAGTGACGTAATGACGCAGCGGCATGCTCGAATTTCCC